CATCCAAAACCCTCAGATCCGGGCAAAGCACGGTGGAAAGGAGCACGTCAATGTGAGTTTGACTGCAGAGCTGGGATGGGGACGTGCCATGGTGGGGACGGGCTGTCTGGCAGCTCTGGAGCTTGAAATCTCCTATTGCAGCCCAAAAAAGAGAGCCCAAGATGATTTGTTTCCAGAAATATTCTCATCCCTGAAGGACACGCACAAAAAAGAAGGTTTTTGGCAGGGCTGTAACCAAACTTCAGGGTCTTCTGAGACCTTCACCTTTGTCTTTGCTTCTCCAGCTTGCTGGGGTTCATTTCAGATAACCTGATATCCAAACTGGAATCCTGAGCACAGCTGAGCATGCACTGCACAAACACTTTTGGAGAAACAATCAGAGTGTGAGACCTAATTGCAAGGTGGTAGCGAGGTTTTCACTAATCTGTGCTGTGCCAGAAATAAGGGAAGAAACTTCTGTTTCCAGAAGGAAACAAAGTCAGGGAAAGATGCTGATGCTGGCAATAGAGCCTGAGTTCTCTCAAGAGCCACAGGAGGCCCTGTTGAAGTGCAAACTGCTCCACACACCCGCCTCAGCCAGGCTTTCCTAATCCCTCCCCAGCCTTGATTGTGTGGTGGGGAATGTTCGGAAGCAGTGGAGCACCAGCCTGTCCCAGGATAACCATGGAGGTCTGTTCCTTCCTCTCCCTGAGAACCATCTGCCCACCAGGAAGGATGAGGACATTTCCCATAAAAACCCCTTGTTTTGGGTTTCTTTCCCCAGAGCTGTGAGGTGCAGAACAGCACAGAGATGACCTGCCAGGGTCCCTATTTCCCATAAAAACTCCTTGTTTTGGGTTTTTTTTTCCCCAGAACTGTGAGGTGCAGAACAGCACAGAGATGACCTGCCAGGCCCCAGCACTGGCTGTGGACCCCAATCACCAGTCTGAGCTCGCTGAGCGCCCGGAGGAGTTTGGCTTCATCCTTGACAATGTGCAGTCCCTGCTGATCCTCAACAAAACCAACTTCACCTACTATCCCAACCCTATCTTTGAGGTTTTCAATCCCTCAGGGATCCTGGAGCTGAAGCCTGGAAGTCCCATCATCCTGAAGGTGAGATGGGAACCAAGGAGTGGATGAGGAAGGACAAATTCTGCCTCTTGCCTCCCTGTGCCTGCCAGCACCCCCATAAATTGTCCTGATTGCACCCCAGAAATTCCCTCCATTCCTTGTCCCTTATGGAACCATACCTGAGTCACCATCAAGCACTGCCCACAACTAAAAATTATAAACTCTTGAGTGCAGCCTAAATTTATACCCACTGCTGCTCACCAGAGAACACCAGAGATCTTCTACCCTTGCCATGTGGCTGACTCAACTCTGTTTCCCTTCTTGTAAATTCAAGAGCTTCCTCTCACCCTTGTTCAAACCCAAACCAGTCCTTTGCCACTTCACAGCAATGCAGAGAAGGAGTTTTATGATGCAGCATTTCTGTATCACTATTTTTACATGGTGAATATGCAAAGAAGTTATTTTACTTGCAGATGCTTTCTTCATGTTTGGAAAAGGTTCTGACTTACTTGTCTAAGTTTAGTGAAGGCTTTTTTTGTGCAGGACTTAGGGGGAACATTTCTCATTCACTTGCAGAGAGGGAGGAGCAGGACAGGCTGTTGTGACTGGCTTTGAGTCTGTAACTACTCATGCTGTTCTCTGCATGAGCTCCTAAATTGGCTTTTCCTCTCTGTGTGAGCAAATGGTGAGCTACAAATGTCATAATAGAATCATGTTTAGGTTGGAAGGGACCTTAAAGAGCATCTCATTCCAACCCCCTGCCATGGGCAGCGACACTTTCCACTAGACCAGGTTGCTCCAAGCCTCATCCGTCCAACCTGGCCTGGAGCAGCATCAGGGATCAGCCATCCACACCTATCAAATGCAGTAACGACACTTGTATCCCAGGAATGACCCAGAGGGGGAAAGAAAACTCCTTCCCGATGTTTATTTGGCTATTTTGGGGTGTGATGTTCCTTTCTGTGCAGGGCAGGAATCTGATCCCACCGGTGGCAGGAGGCAATGCCAAGCTGAACTACACCGTTCTGGTGGGTGAGAAGCCCTGTGCAGTGACCGTGTCAGACGTGCAGCTCCTCTGCGAGTCCCCAAACCTCATTGGGAGGCACAAGGTGATGGTAAGTGATGCCTGACCCTCAGCCTCTGCTCCCTGGGTGGCTTGGGAGGACACAGCAGAGCGGAAGGGCTGGCAGAGTGCTCCAAGGGGGCTCCATCACTCTTTGCCTTCCCAGAAATGTCAGGGCCCCTTTTGGGAATAATATTCTCATCAAGGGTAGCTTGGAGAAGTAGAACAGTGGAAAAGTGACCTGGAGATCTTTGTGGACAATGAGATACCTTTCATGATCAAACTCCAGTAGGAGAGTTTGCCTCTTTTCTGGTTTTCTGTGGGCTGTTCCATGAACCTGGGATGCTCATGTGAGATCATGTGTAACATGTTCCTACATGAAATTGTTAAATTCAGCACAGTCCACATCATTTTATTGACAGGATGGTGACTAAAATTTGCCTTTATGTAGGAGAGGAATGAAAAAAAAAAAAAAGCAGGATGTGGACAATAG